CACCCTAAAATTTAGGGATCTAGATCCCAATATGCGGGGGATTTCAATCCAAACTTAATCGGGATCAAATGATAAATTATAAAGAACCCAGCTCCATCTGGTTAAAAACGAGGCCCACAAGAGCATTTAACCGGCAGTATAGCGTATACTACAATAACATACCACACTATCATACGATACCATACTGCTATACTATACTATAATACTATGCTATATACTATATTCTACTATACTATACTAAATGCTACTTACTATATTTAAATCTACTATATTATTCTAAATGCTACTTACTAGATTTAAATCTACTATATAGAACTATATATAATATAATATATATTATACTCTAATATATACTATTATACCATACTGCTATACTATACTACTACACCATACTACACTGCTATACTATACTACAAAGTAAAAAAACCATGATTCCATGTAGCTCAAGACCTCGATCCATAATACCAAGGATCGAGATTCCAAAATTAATAATCGCAGAGGGGCATGATTCACTTCCTTAGCATGCCCGATTGGGATTCCAGAGAGGAATCAACCCCTTGGTAGGTGGATCCAGGTAACCATGTTCTAACATAAATCATCACTACCACCATCACGGCCATTGCTTATTTAGGAATAGCATACAACAGATTGCAGCCCAAACACTTGTCCTCAAGAAATCCCCCATGATGTTCCCACTCTCATGATGTTACTAAAAGGACCCACTTGATGGATGGCCAGTAGTACAGGCATGGCATGTTTCCACAAGACTTAATTTTTATCCCCACTCTCTTTCCAACATTCCCCTTCAAGCTCATATAAATAAACAATAAACCTATCCCAGTTTATGTCCTCTTCACCATCAAGATAATCACATAAGCAAAACAAAGCATAGAAACAAAAACAAAAATGAGATCCTCCATTCACACCCTTGAACACAAAACAAGACCTTCATAGTAGTAGCATCCTTAGCGACACTACTTCTAACATTTTTATCACAGCCAAAATCTAGTCTTCAAAACTAGAAAGCAATGCACAAATCCTAGAGTGCACCACATCAAACATATACTCCAAAAAGTGAAGCTCCATTGAAGTGATATCCGCAGACATTCCTTTGCCAACCTATAAAGGTACCAATATCTAATATAAGACTGATCCCGAGAGAGAGAGAGAGAGACCCTTTGAGACAATAAAATCCCACTCTATGAAATCCCCTATTTGTCGGCCAGAGCTCCGTGGTACTACATAAGATCGGAACCTATGCCTCGGAAGATCAAAATCCAATGTCATATCCTTTCTTCCACCATAGAAGCTAGACGGGTAAATTAGCCACAACTCAGTTGGCATAAGGGTAATGGAAGGCTCCAAGTGTTGGGGTTATGTGGCCACTTAAAGGCCTTACGAAAGCATGTAAAACTATGACTATAGTGATATGATAACTCTAGTGGTAGTACAGTCCAGAGGAACCAACGGATTAGGATCCAGAGGGGCCAAAGATGGGAATATTGATGTTGGAACTCAACCTAGGTTTAATGAGCTAAGCCGGGTTGAGTTTAAAACCCTTTATTTCTAGGCATGAGGCACAACTGTAGAGAGTTTAGGGTTAGCCCTTGATGAGATCAGAGAAATGCCTAAAGTGGTTGGCCAAGGGACTATGTGACCCTTGTGTGCGATTGGGGGACCTGAAGGGACAAGGCCAAATCTTCATCATGACCATCGCACAGGATGTATATATAATAGCCATATTAGGAAGCAAACACCATTAAGGGTGTGACATATACATGTGTGAAAGGTAGCCCCTATGCACCAATTGTGATAAGAGTGTATAGGTGTGTGTGACCTAGGCTTGTCCCTGAGGGGAACCTGTAATCCATGGGCTAGGATTGTGTTCTCTTCACCGATTGATTGACTTTGATAGTCCAATCATGCATCCCTGCGACAGGCAGTGGGTCATAGAACTATTGGGTCAGTTTAAGAAAGTGAGTGTAGGACAAAATCACTAATAGAGATGGAGTGCCTCAGTATATTCACATTTTCTTTAACATAGTTGGATCCAATTCCCATCAAAATAATTTCAAAATAATTAATTTTAAGTTATTGATTTTTAGAATATTAGATGGCTCTAGATATTTTATTTTCATTAAAAGAGACTTTTTAAAGAGCTAAAATTGATTTTGTAAGAATTTAAATATTCCAAGAGAAAAATAAATTAGCTAAGAGAAGGTGTAAATTAAATACATAGTATTTTTCTCTACACAAATATTTTATGGGATTAAGTTAAAAAAGTTAAGAGATAAGGTTCCAGTACCTTCCATTTGAATATGATGGTTGATCTAAGGATTGTATGGCTAAGATCTCTCACCCCACAGGTCATCTATGATCAACGGTCAAGATTGAATGTCTACAATAATGGCTAACCCTAAATCCCAAAACCCTAGCCTCTGTGTTATAAATACATATTATCGGGGGTCATTCTCTACACCCTAATTTAGACCCTCTCCCTCTCTCTCTCTCCCTCCTCTCTCTCTCTCTTCCTCCTAGGGTGGCACGCCACCCTCTGTCAACTCTCATCTCTCCCTATCACCCTCTCCAAAAGATAAGAAAGAAAAAGAGGGGGCACGCCCTTAATATGCAAGGAAAGGGGGCATGCCCCAAGCTTGAGAGAAAGAAGAGAGGCCCATCCTACATACCTGTGCTCTCGTATTTTGTGTGAGGGGTTTAGCCAAAGCTTCCCATTTACTAAGGTTCAAAGAAGGACCAAGATCCTGTGCGCCATTGTTGGAGGAGATTCGGTGTGGGGTATATCACGTCCATTAGAGGTAATCCTTTGGCATCTAGTTTGATAGTTTTGCTTTCCTGCTCTTAATTTCCATTAATGTAATTTCCTTTATGTAATGAAGAAGTTTTCTAATGGTGGTAGGAAGTGAGAATCCTATTCTTGTTTTTGCTTCTTTATTTGAATTAAAATTGTAATTCTTGGACATATGAAGTGTTCTTAAAATTGTAATTCTCGGACATATGAAGTGTTCTAGCCGGTACTGCAAAAGAAAGAGAATAAAATTTTTAAACTATATATACTGTGCTAGATCACATCGTCCTCTTTCATCATGGACATCAAGCTTGACATACTTGAAATATACGTGGAAATTTTTCATCTTCACGCATGAACCTTATGTCGCAGCAGTACAAAAATATTAATGGAGAAATATTACAACATGTTTCAAGACTGATGCAAATCAAGAGATGGCTCATTCAAAATCTTACTTTTTTATTATTATTACTGGTAAATTTCTTAGTTGTTAGAATTAAGATGAGGTTTTCTTTAAGATTTAGTTAGTTAATTGGTTTCCTTGTTTTTAATTGGGAGAAGATCATGTGGGGATCCTATGGGCCCTATTTTAATGGGAATTAGTATGAATGCATATAGTGTTTCAAAAAGCGTTAAGTGGCACCTAGGCGGTCGGGGTGGCCTAGCGCCCAACACCTAAGTGGGCGCCCAAAACCTGGGCGGCCTAATAGAAGTTTTTTTTTTTTTGGGGTTTTCTCTCTCTAAAATAACCACTAATGGGTTTTAGGTTTCAAATGAACCTAATACCCACAATTTTTCCCCTTTAGTATTAAAAAAAGATCCAAAATTACCCTCAAGGAGCCGCATTTTCGCCCCTGGGTGGGGCGCAGGCTTGGGCGGTCGCCTAGGAGGGTTAAGGCAGGTGCCCAGGGATATCAGCCTAGGCAGCTGCCCAGGTGCTGGGCGGTCCGTTTTTTTGAAACACTGGATGCATGAATTTGGAAAAGAGATAATAGGAATTATGTAATCCTTCTCTTGACATTCTATTTCTTTTAGATGGGGATCACGTTGAATCCTCAAAGAAGGGTCCAATTTTGAAGGGACTGGTGATAGTTAAAAGCGAAGGAAATAATGGAAAAGATGAGAGAGGCACTTGACTGCCATGGAGAGAGATTTGAGGTCCTATACTAATGGAGCAAGGGAGACAAAATAGGGGTAAAAGAAATGAAGAGAGGAAGTCAATTGGAGGCCTAAATTATAGGGATTGCAGGAAGTCAATTGGAGGCCGAAATTATAGGGATTTTGCAGGAGGTGTGAGACAGAAAGGTGGAAGATATATTTGGGCTCTACTACTTTCGTTTTATTTTTCATTCAGTTTGTATTAAAAAGGGTGGAATGCCCCACTAGGGAGCATATGTTATTTTTGGGACTGAAAATTTATTTTAGGAAAGAAGAAAGTTATTCTTCTCTTGGTTTGATTTACGCGAAGTTTTACTTGTTTGGGGATCGGAAAGGGGCTGGATTTCATTTCCCACCTTTTCTTCTTGGATCAAAGCCCAACCTTTCTAACTCGAAGAAATCAGACTTCAAACTCTCTAAAGACTACTAACAACTGAAAATGAAATAGATATACATTACTTGAAATATATAGGGGAAAACAGGTATCGAGACTGTCCTACCGGGTATCCAGACTGTCCTGCCAGTTACTAAAACCAATACCACAACATCGCTTTGCTTATTGAAAGAAACACATTCAATAGGGGAATCACTGTTTCAAAGAGCGATCCAGAATTAAGTCACATCTTGAGCTGAAAAAACATTCCTGATCGAATCCCATCCTAAGCAATTAGACCCTCCAGAATACACCTTAACCAACCTGCTATAACCCCTCAAAACCCCATTTGTGTTTATGAACATCGAGCAGATAACATTTTAATATTGAGAATGCAAACAAGTTTTTGTGAAGTAACCTGAAGAATAAACTTACAAAAGAGGTCAAAATTTTAGAGGGCGCAAATGCAAGAAATGAATTGAGAGAGAACTTAGAAAAGCAAAAATTAAAAAAAAAATAAAAAAATATCGACATGCTAAAACAAATATCATGTTAACATTACTAACACACAGAAGTATTGCATGATAAAGGCACTCAGTTTTGACAAGCATACACAACAAGTCCCTTTGGTAGTGTTCCTTTTGAATAACTTATTCGCTATACCTTGAGTAACTGCTGAGACAGCAGGCTGGACGTAATCTTGTAGTGTGGTACTATCAGAGCACGGACCTACGTCCATCACAGCTATGGCTATAACATAATTACCTGTAAAATAAGATACAAACTTATTCCTTTAATGCATGCAAATTTCTATGTTAGTATTTATATTCACTGGCAAAACAATAGGAACACATTATGTATAGAAGGAACATAATATTGATAGCCTTATATATACAATAAAGAAAAGTAGGAAAATGATATAAACAACCTGCATATTTGAAACATACCATTGAAATCCCCTATAGCCTGCAAAAGATTGGTCCCCATTTTTAGCAATGCAGTTACATCAGTTGGAAATTGTGGGCCGGTATCCTAATCGATGAGGCAAGTTAGACATACACAACATGAGTTCCTTCAACGAATCAACCATATATCGGAAATTATTAGTGTAGAACATAGATTACCACAAGGCTTAAAAACACATGCTTACCAATGATGAATTAATCCTTTTATCCACCCCCTTCCCATTCAACAAGAAACTGCATAACCAAGCATATTGAAAAATGATTTATTTATAAGGTAATTCCCCTCAATTAATTCAGTAAAGAAAAGTCCTTACTTCACGTGTGGTGGAGTTACAATACATGATGTTGTTTCCATATTATCTGTCCGGACTACAAATAATCGCTGCAGACAGAAACAGGAAAGACCCCCACAATTGCAAGCAATTAATTAGTCCATGGCTTCCCAAAAACAATCAAAAATAGCTACTAATGAAATTAAATTACTTGTACTAAATAAAAGCTTTATGCTTTTATACTTGACAAGAGGGTCCCAACAAACATACAACGGATCATCCAAAAATTTAGATGTGCTAAACAATTTATTTTTTCCTGAAAATGACATGGCTGGTCAGCACTTCATGTGCTCACCAAGTATTCATAAGTGAGACTAAAAAGGTTGCATACTAACACACTCCCCAGCAACGAATTACAGCTGAAACTGCAGTGCATACTTACTATTTTCTCCTGTGGAACCATAACAGGATTCTTGGGAATATGGAAATCTGAAACTAGAGCGTCATAACCAGGCTGCAAAACAGAACAGAAACATTGAAAACCATCATACTCCAAGACAAAAAAAACAGCAAGAGAATTCTTTGAAGGACACTATAATCAACACATACCTTGTGAATAGTACAGGAATGAATACATCAACATCAAGAACTACAATGCACTAAACTAAAAATTAATGAGTAATCTAGCCTGGGATTATATTGAAGCCTACATAACAGATGATCCGTATATCATTTATATCACAAAATATGTGTGTCGGAAGGGCCTCTACTTATGGCTCACACAATCCAGCACAAGAACAAATTGAAAAAGATCATATTCCAATTCTAGATCATGTAAAGAGGTGAAGATATGCAGAAGGTAGCCTGTGAATAGTACAGGGATGAATACATCAACATCAAGAAATATAAGCACTAAACTAACAATTAATGCACAATCTAGCCAGGGATTATTTTGAAAAAATAATCCTACATAACAGATCATCCGTCTATCATTTATATAACAAAATATGTGTGTCAGAAGGGCCTCTACTTATGCCTCACACAATCCAGCACAGAAATAAATTGAAAAAGGTCATATTCCAATTCTAGATCCTGTAAAGAAGTGAAGACATACAGAAGCTAGCCTGTGAATAGTTACACATCAACATCAAGAAATATAATGCAATAAACTAACAATTAATGAGTAATCTAGCCAGGAAATATTTTGAAGCCTACATAACTGATGATCCGTATATCATTTACATCACAAAATATGTGTGTCAGAAGGGCCTCTGCATATGCCTCACACAATCCAGCAACAGAAATAAATTGAAAGATATCATATTCCAATTCGAGATCATGTAAAGAAGTGAAGATACACGGAAGGTAGCCTTAATCATATACAAATTATGTTAAGCAATGCGATGAGAGGTAAAACTAGCATTAGCAAACATAGAATGTCACCTAACCTTGGCTTCAAGAGAAACAAGGATGCTGCCCAACTTCAACCAGGGATAATACCTGAAAAGGATCTATGATAATATGATCCAGACACACTATTACAGCTTCAAGGATCACATATAGAATGTATACAACTTAAATTACAGGTGAAAGTTTTAAAATATTTGAATTGAACGAATACTAATTACAAGAAAAAAAGAGGAACATGCCAAAATCAGGTAAAACAGATAGAGAAGTAAGGAAACCCCACGAACTCAATTGGTTCGAATAACTACTCTCTTTTTTTTCTGAAAATTGGAATAACTACTATCGACAGTTTACAATCAATCCACAGCTTCAAAAGTGCAAATGTTGTGACCAAGGCACACAAACAAAGAAACATGATCTATAAACACATTTACGCAACATGTAAATCACATGTGTTCTAGTAAGGAACGTATAGAAAGGAGTCAAATGTCTGCATCCTAGGAAAGGTAGGAAATTGAATACACATTTTTCTTGAACCTTAAACAAGTAAAATCAGCAATACTAGAGAAAGAACATGGCTGCAAATCAAAGCCAAGAGAAGAAAAACTTTCTTATTTCATAAAAAAAAATTTCATCCAATATAATATGCCTCACAAAATATGAAATCCAAACATATATAAGCACATGAAACCTTAATTTAACTTGCGATCCAAGTAAATATTTAATAATACTAAAATTTCAAAAATACCCATGTGAGCAGTAACGTGTGAATAATAATGCATGAACAGTAACTTTAACAGTACCATGAATAGTACTTGTGAATATTAAATAAAGTAAATATAAAAAAACCCTAAAATCCAAAAACAACTTAACATCCTAAGCATAAATCCTAAAACTAAAATCAAAATATGCATCCTTTAAAATTGAATAGAAATTAAAAAAGTATAATTTTTCCCTCCATCATTCTCCCCTAGTTGGAGAAAACTCGTCCTCAAGTTTTGAAATGAGCTAAGAAGAATTTATCATCAAAACTGCATTCTTCAACCTTCTTCTTCTTTGTTAACTCAAATACTATTTGTAGTAAAAATAATTTCTCAAGAAATGGATCCTAATATATATTGAGGAATCGATGCAAATTTATCAAACCCAATTTTTAGAGGCTTTCTCGACATCTATCTTGTTACTCTCTGAAAATGCAAAAGAAGAAAAAACTTAAAAATAAAACAAATTCTTGTGAGCAATTTTCTTGCATTTTCAGTTTTAATTTTTAAATGGATTTTACACTTTGTATGTAAATTTACAAAATTACAAATAATGAATTGCTATCTATTTTAGGTATTTTCAGTTTTTTAACTACTTTTCCACTCAAAAATCAAGACTCAATGGGATTTTTTGTGCGTTTAGTTTTTGATGTATGGCTATGAAATTTAAAATTCTTGTGAACTTGTGAACTGTGAATGGGGGTTTGGGTGTTGTCATTGTGATTGATTATTTGTTGTTTGGGGAAAACAACACCTTCAGGTCTACAAATGGAAAATCAGATCCAGCATGGGACCATGCAAATAGGTCCTATAGGTGTAAATACGACTACAGAAGGTGATAAATATGGGAACTTTGTGCATATATTATGATAAACAAAATAAAGGGACATCGGATCCATAGGGTTATGAAGCGTTGGCCCAAAAATAGGGAGCATGGCCATATGCCCCAAGGTTCCTCTCATGCAATGTTCGAGATCCAAAAAAGCACCGAATATCATGTGGTAGAGAAGCAAAGGAGGCAAGAAATTGTCGATAACATAAGGATCGTTACCCTACCCAAGATGAGGAGCATTATGATATTGATTATGAGGAAGGAGATGAGGAGTCTCCTCAAGCTAGAAGGAGGACACTTGGGAAAGAGCCCATGTCTTCCACTCATGTGTCTAGCAAGCCTAAGAGGATGGCTCCAGGTGGTGACATAGTTGTTTCCATCTAGAACAAAACTAGGCTCCCAGCCAACCATCAAAGTGTGTGGTCAAGTAGAAAGCAGTAGTAAAGGCGAACATGTGTATGGTACAGTGGATTTATCATAACTATTATCACATTCAATGCCCGAAACTGCATCGATTTCCAACCAAAGTTTGTTGTTGTGGCATCCATAGGTCCAGGTATAAAAGCCCCTCTAATCATGATTTAGGACTGCACTACTTAAAAGAATACGGATAAGATTAGGAAGGACACAGAATCATTCAAGGAGATAAGGGCCAGTAAAGGATATTCTATCATGGCTGATCGACAGAAAGATGAAAGTCAAAGACAATTAATTGACTTTCGGTGTATTGTACAAAGGGGATGGTCTTCTTGAAGTCAGCTGTTGCCTTTGAGATAACAAAAACAAGGGTGGCATTATTTGATTTGTTTAGGGAGGTCATTGAGGAGGTGGGGCCAGAGAATATAGTCCAATTTATTACAGATAATACACTCAACTACGCCTTAGGGGCAGTTGCTACAATCACATTATCCATATATATTTTGGACATCAAGTGCGGCACATTGTATAGATTTAATGCTAGAGGAGATTGGGAAGATGAAACATGTTATAAAAGCCATAAGTAAGGCAAAGTACCAAAATCTATATACAACCATGGATTGGTCCTCAATCTTACGAGGAAGCATACTCAGGGGACGGAGTTATTGAGGCCTGTCATTACTAGATTTGCAACTAAATTCCTCACTTTGCAGAGTATGTAATTTTAAAAGGATGGCCTCAGATCCATGGTTACATCAGCTAACCAGCAGGATTCCAAATAGTTGGCAAGAGTAGTAGGAAGGAGATGATGAAAGTGGCTGAGTCAATTTACCAATGTTGCCAAATGTAATTCGAATTACAGAGCTCTTGGTGAAGATTTTAAGGGTTGTAGACAGTGACTCTAATCCAGTGTTCGAAAAATCGAACCGGCCACGGATACCGACCAAGGGCCTGTACCGAGTAACCGGTAAACCAGCCGGTTCAACTGACCTAACCAAGAAACTCCTAACCGATAAAAACAAGTCAAAAAAAATAAACAAAATAAAAAAAAAATTAAAAACATAAAAAGGACATTTAAAGCATGATTAAACAAAGCACATCAAAATGAAGTTGAAAATTAGTGAATAAAAATAGATTTTAAAAAATCAATTTGTGCCCAGGGGTATTTTTGATATTTTTCAAAAAAGATGGGAAGAATGTAAAAATAAGTATTAATGGCCAAAACACTTTCCAATCTTTTCCAAAATGATGAAAAACATTTAAAAAAATGCATTACAAACAAATTCCTTATTTTTTGGCATTTTATATAATTTTGTTTTGAATTTTTTTAAAATATCTGGCTTAATCACCAATACCGGCCAAAATAGGAACCAACCAGTGACTAGTTCCGATCTAACCGGGCGATTGCAATTTGAACCGCTCAATTTGGCAAACATTGCTCTAAACCTACCATAATAACCGGGAACGGGAGCGATGAGAGCTTCGAGATCGGGAGCGAAAGCACGGAACGGGATAGGCTCGAAGATCCGTGGTTGGGGGAACAAGGTCCATACATGGTCAGGTAAAGGGATCGAGATCGCTGACTTTTAGTGAACGCATTCCATATCTTCACAGAAGCGAATTCTTTATTAAATGGGATTGCTTTCCTCCATGATAAGGACCGAGGTTCCCGAAGTCACTTATCAATTGTATTGCAACTTAGGAGCAAATTCCATTGAACAATATTTTTAACTTCTTTAAAATTCACAAACCCAATATCAATGTGAACAAAATTCATGTCATTGCAGTTCTTTTTAACATTTTGTGGTCATTGGAGTATGATTTTATACACAGCGATAATAGAAATCCAATATGGTGATGTAATACCTAAGTCCTCGATCCCATGCTAAGAATGGGAATGGAGGGTAATAAAATCAGTTACTTAAGAAAGAATCACTATAAAAAAGTAATCATATGGGTCCCTAAAAAAAACTGCACACCTACCTACATTGGTCTAACTAAAATGAACGCATCCTCAGTTTTGGCACCAATCAGTTGGATTGGGCAACTCCCACTCAAATATCAATTGATGATTAATATAAGAATGTTGTGATAGATTATTTCCAACAAAGAAATACCGCAATAGTTAAGTTCTCCTTTACAAAGTAAGGAAAAAGAAAGACATTGCCATATATAGTTCTCAATAGTTCTCCTTTGTCAAAGATTGTTAAGGGTTCAAAGACATATACAGACCTCACATTTCCACGCATACATATTATTCCTTCACCCATAAGGCAATCTCGCGAGTGGCTCGATTTGGTTGATCAACACTTTAGCAATAGAAGTCCTGCAAGAGGTAGACAAGACCCAGAGAACTAACTCCAAGGAAGTTGAGCATATTAGCTCCTTCCATCTTCTTCTACTCTCCTTGTCCTCTTTTTTGTTGCCTTTCGCCGAAACTAGACATAAATCACGATTCACAAGGTATGTAAAATTGTGAATTGTAAAATATGTTGGAAATCATAGAGTTCAGAAAGTTTGTAGGTCGTAAAAATTTGGAGGTCCACACTCGATTGTAAACAAACCAAAAAAATGAATCGGTGAAACTGGCTCGCAAATTAGAGGATATTTGATTCTAATTTGGTGGAATCGCGGTTCTGCTTACTCATGGAACCATGATCTTTGGCATAGAGATCTGGATCCCATTAGATGGGATCAAGTTCCCCGATTTCCCGAATCGAGATCCCGAATATCAAGTAATCACCCAGAATCGAGATCCCAAATCTCGGAGCGCGGGATCGTGCTTACGGAGGGGAAGCGACCCCCTCCTTTGAAGATCCTGGTAACTATGAAACCTACAATGGGTTATATATATGAAGCAATAGACAGAGCCTAAGAAGCCATTTAAAAAACTTTTAAGGACAAGAAGACTCATCATGAGAAATATTAGAAGATTATAGATGATAGATGGGATAGACAGTTGCCTATTATCGTAACCCCAAATACTTCTACAGCAAAGCCAAATTTTTAACCCATCCTCAGGTTTTGATGGGCTGGTGCATCATTATCAAAAAGTTAGACCCGGATATAAATATACAAGTCAA